TCTGAGGATCCCCTGGGTGCTTGGAAATACGCTGCGAGACTCGGAGCGTCGCGTCGAGGACTTGAGTGTCGCCATTGGTTGGGGCGAGGTCCCATGTGGCAGCCTGAGCTGCGCCACGCGACGCAGAATGGACGCCTGCGTGGAAACGCCGCGCATCCGATATAAAATTTCGCCCGGATGGCGCCCTCTCTCATCACAGACTTGGACGGAGAAGCTCAGAAGATTCGCATAACCTCGAGGAATAGTCTTGCGTTCTAGCGCCGCTGGGCGCTCAACAGCGCGCTATCTCCGACGAACTTGCAGCCGCGCACAATGATCTTGTTCGCGTTGAAGTTGCGGCGTTGCTTGATATGCCGTGACGCTGGCGGCGGTGGCATGGCGTTCGCGGCGTTAGCGACACAGAGCAAGGCGCCGGTACCGACGCTCCAAACCTTGCAGGTGCCGTCCTTTGACGACGTCGCGAGGAGATGGCCGCTCGGCGAGAAGGCGCAGTCCGTCACGGGCGCGCCGTGACCACCGCTGCAAGTTGTCGCGAGGACACAGGCGAAACGAGGCGCTGCGCACGCCGCGATGGCCCCGCCCCGACGCTCGACGACCCAGATGCGCGGCACGCCATCTTCGCCGCCGGTGGCGATGAGTTCGCCGGCTTGCTCGTCGAGGACAGTCACACAATTGATGCTCGGATCACAATCCTTGAAATCGGCGACGTAGTCCTCGGACACGACGACGATGCTTGATTCTCTTGGCCCCGCGATCATCCCGGGCGCCAGCGATACGAGCGCGCAGAGCCTGAACGATTTGCCGAACACCGCGACGAGCACGGCGCAGCCGCGAAACACCTGGACGCCAGAGCAGAGCTCGTCGCCGGTGTCCAGCTTGCACAGCTCCAAGAGCCCGCTCTCGTCGAGGTCCGCGGCGACGATGGCGTTTCCGACGCCCGTCTTACTCGAGCCGCCGCCGCCGCAGTAGATGATGCGGTGGGAGGGCACCTCCAAAGTTGATGTCGACGCCTCACCGA